TGATGGTGGTGGTGATGATGGTGATGGTGATGATGGTGATGGTGATGATGGTGGTGGTGATGGTGGTGGCGGTGGCGCTGCTGCTGCTGCTGCTGCTGCTGCTGCTGCTGCTGCTGCTGCTGCTGGCCCTGGTCCTGGTCCTGGTGTTGGTGCTGGGAATTGAGCCTCGGGCCTTGTGCAGAGGGATAAGTGCTCTACCACTGAGCTACATTCCCAACTTATTTCTTATTAAATGCCTTTTCTTCACCTAGGCATTTCCAACCAGAGGATCCATTTGAGTTTTGTGTAGTTTTTGTTGTTGTTGTTGTTGTTGTTGTTGTTGTTGTTGTTGTTTTTGCTTAGTTTCAAAATTTTAAAAAATTAATGCATAAGATTTATGTAATGAGAAAATAGGATGAAGAGAGAGAGAGTTAATTATTAAGCTGGGGTGGTGGAAGGGTAGTTCAGTGAAAGAGCATTTGTCTAGCATGTACTATGCCGGGGCTCAATTCCCAGCACAGCCAGAACAAAGAGAGATGGGATGTCTTGAAGCCAGGAAGCCAGCTCTTTAGGAGACGCTGCCTTGGTGGTGACATTGTAGTTTTCACACCAAACTGTGCACAGCCGTGGGGCCCAATGCAGGAGTGGAATGTATGTATTCAACAGGCTAGGGTTTAGCTTCCATTTCAGAGGAACCTGACATCGAGAGATTATTCGGCCATGGCGAGGGATTTCGGTTAGCCAGGGAAAGGAGCGGTAATTCCTCCACGACCCGAGGGGAACCAAGGCTCAGGCCAGGTTTTACCCATTGCGGCAGGAAACCATCAGTGGATTTCCTGAGTAAGTCCCGGCCAGAGGAGGATGGGAAAGCTGCACTGGATATGCATTGACTCCAAACCTCAGACCGAGGTTTTGCACTGAGAACATGAATTCTGGTATCCTAAGCCTCATCTCTGCTAAGGCAGTGGCTCTTTTCACAGTAAACAGGGAGACAAGAACTGCTAACCCCAGGCCCTGTGATCCAGAACCTGTGCAGAACGAAAGGTTTAAAATATCTCATGGGCTTCATTTCATATCCTGCAGTGAAAGTTCTAGGGACCAACTTTGATCATCGGGGCTCCTCTTGTCCTTGGTTAGAATTGCCCAGTCCCCAGCTTTTATGGGGTATGGTAACGTATGTTTCACAGTCCAGGTCTCATCTGGGGTACTCAAGGATGCTTTGGAGTGGGGAGGTCGAGCTCTTAACGCAAGCTCAGCTTGTCCAGCAGGCACCTGGGTGTGGTAGGGAGGATGATTTCCTGTCTTCACAACTTTGTCACAGTCACACACCATCTTTTCTGTCTGTTTCTCCTGCTCTAGGACCAAGCACACCTGCAAGAAGACGCTGCTGGAGGAGGTACAGGAGCTGGAGACCAAGTCCCGAGTCCTGGGGAAAGCAATGCTGAGAGACAGTAATGGAAAGAGGTGGGCTGCCCCCTCCCCACGTGTTCTCCTGCCCCCCCCCCCACCATCTCGGATTTCCCCTCCCGGGCTCATGTTCAAGGGCAGCGTGGTGGGTTCAGTTTCAGGCGTTCTGATTACATGCTGAGAATGCGGTCAGCGTGAGCTTCAGATTGCGTCTTCTCAGAAGCCATGAGAAGCTGAGTTTCTGGGTCACTGGGCCTGTCCCCAGGTAATAGGAGTGGTTTTGTTGGGTTTGGGATGTGGACAAAACAGTCTTGTGAATAACAGACAGCATAGCAATATTTTCTTAAAGGGGAGGAGATGGGACTGAAAGAGGATCCAAGAGCCAGGCCTTTGGTTTCAGGCCCAACCATGTTACCCGAGGCAGAGCAAGTAGAGGAGTATGTGGTTAGTGATGGAGAGCTTTAGCTGTCCATGAACATTTCATTACAGTCCACTTCAGTAGACCTGAGGGGGTTTCCCCCTTTATTTACATTTTATGTCTGTGGATAATATTTTGCCTGTATGTAATGTAAGTTTGTGTACCACATGGGTGCAGTACCCACAGAGGTCAGAACAGAAGAGGGTGTCAGATCCCCTGGGTCTGGCATCACAGAGATGGTTGTGAGTCCCCATCTGGATACTGGAAATTGAACCAGAGTCCTCTGGAAGAGCAGCCAGTGCTTTTGGCTGCTGAACCATCTCTCTAGCCCCCTGAAGGGGGATATTTTTAATAAATTATCACAACTTAGTAGATTTGAGAAAGGTTAAGAACACTCTTGGCATATGTCTTAAGGTTTCTATTGCTGTGAAGAGTCACTATGACCACGGCAACTCTTATAAAGGGAAGCATTTAATTGGGGTGGCTTCCAATTCAGAGGTTCAGTCCATCATCATCATGGTGGGCCATAGCAGCATGCAGGCAGACATGGTGCTGGAGAAGTAGCTGAGAGTCCTACATCGTGATCCAGAGGCAACAGGAAATGAACTGAGACACCAGGCAGTATCTTGAACATAGGAGACCTCAAAGCCCACCCCTACAGTGACACACTTCCTCCAACAAGGCCACACCCACTCCAACAAAGCCACGCCTCCTAACAGTGCCAATCTCTATGAGCTCATGGGGCCAATAACATTCAAACTATGACAGCACAGCAGTGGCTGCTTCTCCTCCTCTGTCAGCAAGCGCCCAGCTGCTCGGCCCCACACTCAACAGGTGACTGGGAAGACTGTGTCTTTCCTCCCATGAGTTCATCTTGTCAGGGTAAATTTATCAGAAATCTATACGGCTATGGGCCGAGTATCATCTGCAGTGTAGAAAGATGGCCATGTTTAATGTGGAACGTCTAGGAAAGGTCTGAGTGCTCGTCTCCTAAGTGCCTGAAAGGAATTCTGTAGCTAACGTCTAAGACCTAGAAACTTGTAGAAGTTTCTGCCTTGTTTCATATTGTGTTTGTTAGAACTATCTTTTACAGCAATGGAATCAGATACTTGGTTTGTAACAAAGGGGATTTTGGGCTGGAACTGTTGATGGGTCCATGAAGTGCTCACTTCATCAAGCATTTTGGAGGTTTGAGAAATGTTGTTTCAGATAGCTATAGATTTTAGGAAAGGTTTCAGAGCACGGGATTGGCATTGCAGTTTGGATTTTGTTTATGGTTTACTTTAAAATTTTTTTTATTTTAGATTTATTTATTTAATTTTGTGTCTATGAATGTTTTACCTGCATATTTCTATGTGTACCATGTGCGTGCCTAGTGCCCTCTGAGGTCAGAAGAGGTCCATGGATCCCCTGGAACTGGAGTTACAAAAGGTTGTAATCTACCATTGTAGGTACTGGGAACTGAACCTGGGTCCTTTGTAAGAACAACAAGTGCCCTTAACCACTGAGCCACCTCTTCAGTCCCTATGGCTTTACTGGTTAGTAAGTGAGTGCATTAACCAACAAAACCAAAATTATTACCTTCCATAAGCTTAAAACTGGGAATACGGATGCTGCTCTGTGATAAAGTGCTTGCCTAGTGGGCCCATAGCCCTGGATCCCATTTCCATCAGTGGAAGGAAAAACAAAAACAAACAGATAAATGTAACATTGTAATTGGGTGGCAGGATTCTTTTAAATGTCAAACAGTTTAGATGCAGTACTCAGTAACTACTCAATTTCCCACGACCTACACTGTTTTCTGAGACCCGAAAAATGTCATATTCATAGTCAGCAAAAGTTGGAGTGGGAAACTCCGGCAAGTTGAGACTGATAAATAGTCACAGACAAAATGCACAAAAACATGGGAGTAAGCACAAATTTTCATCTTCAGAGGACTATGGACCTTCTTATATATCACAAATTCTCAAGCCTACGTGAGATTGCTAACCAAGCATAAAGAATTTTTTTTTAAAGATTTATTTATTATGTATACAGAAGAGGGCACCAGATCTCATTACAGATGGTTGTGAGCCACCATGTGGTGCTGGGAATTGAACTCAGGACCTCTGGAAGAACAGTTGGTGCTCTTAACCTTTAAGCCATCTCTCCAGCCCAAGAATTTCTAAGTAAAGCACAGTTGTCAATTCTAATGAGATATACCCGAGAAGAACATTCCATATACTGTGGTCTGTGTTTGCACAGCTCAGGGTAGGGGCTTCATATGGTCCGGAAGTTTCTCTGTGTGGCCTGCACTTGGCAGCATGGACAGACAGTCAGAAGACCATCTGGTTGGGGCCATCCAAAGAGGCTTTCATGCTGGAGATGGGCTGGGAAAAAGAGCTTAAGTTATAAAGGACCCAGGAGGACAGCAGCAGTGAGTGTGTGTCAGGCAGAGGGCCCCCTGTGAAGACATCAGTAGAGATGTGCAGGCACAGACACCCCCCACCCACCCTAGTTTGCAGGGCCACAGGCACTTTGTAGAGATCTGGGGTCTGCGTGAACTCTGGTGTGCCCCTGGGCAATCCAGGAACACAGTGACACTGTCTCTTCATCTGCCGCAGGCAGCTGACACTTTGAGGGGAAGAGGAAGGTTTATGAAATAACACAGATGGCCCGAGCCACTGTGAGAGTATGAAGGATCAGCTGTGTGTTCCGCCAGAGAGTCGCGGTATGAGAGGGAGCCGTGGACTGGTAGCCTTGAAAAAAAGACAAGAGCCCCATCTTCCTTCATAAAAAGATGGGGTCTTTTTTATTTGTTTTCTGTGCTGTACGTGGAAGTGATTCAGGGCCTCTCGTGTACTCCACCCTGAGCTACACAAACCCCTCGGATCTGTCAACAGAGAGGGGACAGAGACACAGCATCATGCCACCACCCTCAGCAGCCTGAGGGGTCTCCCTAATCTAAGGGAACTCGGCTCAGGCTAAGCCTGGATTTGTGGCTTTAACTCGGAAGAAAAGAATCTCAGGCTGAACCAGTATGAAGCAGAACTGATGATATTAAAGATATTTTAATAGAGGCCTCAGCATGAGGATTGGGAGAAAAAGACACTCAGAAAGTCATCCCCATGCGTAGGGCTCTGCTTCTCAAGTGAGAATAGGAGGAGATTAAGGCGTACCCAAGTTTAGGTATGGGCTCTTCAAGGGAGAGATGCAATTCAGCATCTTGGAATTATTCATATACGCCATTTGGGTGGCTCTGGAGTTCCATTTCAAAAGGTTTTTAAGAACCCTCCCCCCTTACTCTCTTGATAAGAAAAATTATAAGGTGGTCAGGGGTGCCTTGGGCTGATTTATCATCTGATACCAGGAGCCTCTAGGATTGCACGTGGGGTGCAGTACGTGTTCCTTCCCTGTAAGCTGAGTTTCTGGTCAGATTCCTAGAAAATTGCAGGTTTATGGGGCGGAAGGGAAAAGTCTACGGTAGTTGTTAACTGCTGGAGTTCTTGCTTCATTGCTGATGAGAGGTGCTGGGTGAGTGGTCCTTTCTCTTCTCACTTCTCCGAGATTTTTCCTGCCTTTCAATCTCGCCTTTAATGTGTATCTTCCTGTCTGTCTGCTGACAGGATGATGGGCATGGGCCACCACACTACACCACAGCCAGCTTTCTGTGGCAATGGGGAACAGCCAGGGCCTTGGGCACACAGGGCAAGCACCCTACCCTTGAGCTCCCTCCCCAGGCCTTGTGAATGTAAGTTTTAAACATCTACCAGGTGTGATGGCACACACCTTCAGTCCCACTACTCAGGAAGCAGAGGCTGGCAGATCTCTGAGTTTGAGACCATCCTGGCCTACAAAGCAAGTCCCAGGACAGCCAAAGCTACACACAGAAACTGTTTCAGAAAACTAAAGGAAGAAAGAAAGGAAAACCAAGTAAACAAACATCCACTTAGAAAAATCTACGCCTACACATACAAGCAGGTCCCCAAAGGTAGAGTTTATGTGTGGTTTTCTACTTGCTGCATTTGAAGACCCATGCCCCTAACCTAGGGTGAGTTCCATGACTTTGTACTTGGTGTGATTACATGTGTGCATGTCTGCAAGAACACATCATATTCAGAGTGTGCATGCCATCACGAGGTCAGCCTTTCCTTTTCTTATTGTCCACCATGTCACTCTGTGATTGCTCACCAGAGGTAGTGGGGACCCACTGTCCCCACAGTGTCTGTATCTACCCTTTGTTTTTCCCCCTTCTAATTACCTGGGGTTTGCTGCAGGTCAGCTGCCCACTAGATAATAGAGCACACTGTTCTCTCCAGGAGGCGATGCCATCCACTTAACCTCCTGAGAGCTGCTTCATCCCTCCTCTTTGATGGCTTTTGTTTGCTTCTTCCACACCTGCTTGGATTCCTGGGCACCTCCATGCTGGGAGGGGCCAGTGGGGGATGGGCTGAGGGGTAAGCTCCCCCTTCTGTCTGGAGATCTTCTAGACTCTGGCTAAAGTACTGATCACACTGGCCTTCCATTTCCAGTCCTTTCTTCCCACCCTGTTTGACTGTCTGTTCACCTCCCCAGACTCTGTGTGTGTGTGTGTGTGTGTGTGTGTGTGTGTGTGTGTGTGTGTGTGTGTGTTAAGGTGGCAGTGAGGGAAGGAAGGTGG